ACCTATTCCATGAAGATCTCTACGCACTGTTGTTGTGCCAATCTGAAGGCCGCATGAAGTTTGGAGGTCTGTAGCTATGGACTCTGCAGACAGTTGGTGACTTCCGCGCACTGTGCGCTTCAGCATGCGCTGACCCCGCTCTGTCATGTTACGTGGCCTACCACTTCCTGGCTGAGTTGCTGTTGTTCCCAGTTGCTTCCACTTTGTTATAATCCCAGTAACAGGTGACCGCGGAATATTTAGTAGCCAGGAAATGTCACGGAACACCTGAATCCAATGATTTGGAGGGGGAGGGGCCCAATACTCTTGGTATTATAGTGTATTTATTAATGGTTACTGTATATATTTATCGCGGATGAACTGTTAAATTTTTATGTTATTTATTTTTGTGAATTATTTGCACGTTTTCGGTATTTGTGTGTTTTGGATGCTTTCCATGTATTATGTTTACACTTCTTGTAGATATCTATTTAGCTGTTTAATAAGCTTTTGTTATTATTTGTAGAGCAGAATATTAATAATTTATTAAAGACGTGTATAGCTGTCTGTGTGTCTGCCGGGGAGATGCACCCTCTAGGTTTGCCTTGGTGATTATTATTACTGAGACAGAACGTGATGGGAAATCCAAAACTTGCACAGGAATGGAGGAGGAACCTTGGAAAGGAGACATTTGTGCATTTCCTCTCACTATGGAGAGATTTCCTTTCACTTCCTATTGTGTCTAAACGGCAGGAGGAAAGGAGACCCAGATTGCAAAAGAGATCTTATCGTTCCCTACTCTATCCACAGTAGAGAGCGGTAAGACCCAGGAACTCAGCACAGGAATGGTGGGAGCCCCTCATAATGGGCACAGCGGGTGTACAGACCCGGGAACTCAGCTCAGGGATGGTGGGAGCCCCTCATAATGGGCACAGCAGGTGTACAGACCCTGGAACTCAGCACAGGGATGGTGGGAGCCCCTCATAATGGGCACAGCAGGTGTACAGACCCAGGAACTCAGCACAGGAATGGTGGGAGCCCCTCATAATGGGCACAGCGGGTGTACAGACCCGGGAACTCAGCACAGGGATGGTGGGGGCTCCTCATAATGGGCACAGCAGGTGTAGAGACCTTTATGACATAATCATCGGTTACGGTTACAGCCGAAATTAGATCCTTTCCCCAAATCTCAGTGAATTCACCTGACCAGAAAGAGTTACTTTATATGGAGGAAGAAACTTATATCATTGGCTGATACAAATGTAACTCCCACAGGGATGGTGGGGGCCCCTCATAATGGGCACAGCAGGTGTATGCTTTGGGTGCTCTGACTCTTTGTTTTTTTTGATTCCTCAAATACACATTCATGTTCCAGGTCAGTGTCGTAAAGAAAGGATTAAGATGACAGTCCGTAGCCTGCACCTTCACTAACACATCAGCATTGGCAGTTCCCAGATGTCTATCCTGACAGACTCTAAAACCCAACCTTAATCCTAATGTGAAACTAAACCCCCTAATTCCTGACCCTAAGGCTATCCTAACGCAACCCCTAAAATAATCCTGGACACTGAATTAACCCCTTCTGAACACACTCACTGGGGTTGCCACCTTTTCTTCAAGTTAAACCCGAACGCTCTAGCGCCGCAAGCGGCAATTTATTTTTTGGGAGAATATAGAGGAGAGGCAGCCAGGGGAGGGAGTAAGGAGACCGGCTATAGAGGACTACAAATCCCAGCAATACATTATACAGCAATATAAAATAATATGAAGCTACACAATCTGTGTTGTTCCGGGGTGGCATCCTGATGTCTCCAGGGGCTTTTAGGTGGGCTATGCGGGCTCTCAGATGGGCTGTGCAGGCTCTCAAGTGGACTCTGTGGCCTCTTAGGTGGGCTATGCGCACTCTCAGATGGCTGTGTGGGGTCTCAGATGGGCTATGCGGGCTCTTAGATGGCTGTGTGGGGTCTCAGGTGGGCTATGCAGGCTCTTAGGTGGGCTATGCACACTCTCAGGTGGGCTATGCAGGTTCTTAGATGACTGTTTGGGGTCTCGGGTGGGCTATGTGGGCTCTTAGATGGCTGTGTGGGGTCTCAGGTGGGCTATGCAGGCTCTCAGGTGGGCTATGCAGGTTCTTAGATGGCTGTGTGGGGTTTCAGGTGGGCTATGCACACTCAGGTGGGCTATGCAGGTTCTTAGATGGCTGTGTGGAGTCTCAGGTGGGCTATGCAGGCTCTTATATGGCTGTGTGGGGTCCTAGGTGGGCTATGCAGGCTCTCAGGCGTGCTATGCGGGATCTCAGATGCATTGTTGTGAATGAGCTGCCAATGCACAACTAAAATGTTTGTTTTTTTTAAACGCCGTCTGATGCAACACAGAAAGCCGTTGCACCTCTGCCTTGTGGTGTGCTATAATGCAGGTGTGCTGGTAGCACACTGTATATATGCATTGGGGTGCAGTTAACAATAAATGGCGTAAATACCATTAATCCCCATTCACACACATGTGTACCAGGGACGTGTGTTTGTGAGCTTTCATGTGTGTTTTCTTTCCGCATAGATTTCATTGGGTCCTGCATGTGTAACAAATGCAGAAAAGAGGCTAATGTAGCAAAAATCTGCGACGTGCACTTGTGTGGTCTCGGGTGGGCTATGCGGACTCTCAGGTGGGCTATGCGGACTCTCAGGTGGACTATGTGGGTTCTCTGGTGGGCTGTGCAGGTTCTCAGGTGGGCTATGTGGGCTCTCAGGTGGGCTATGTGGGCTCTCAGGTGGGCTATGTGGGCTCTCAGGTGGGCTATGTGGGCTCTCAGGTGGGCTATGTGGGTTCTCAGGTGGGCTGTGCAGATTCTCAGGTGGGCTTTGCAGACTCTCAGGTGGGCTCTGCGGGCTCTCAGGTGGACTATGCGGGCTCTCAGGTGGACTATGTGGGCTCTCAGGTGGACTATGTGGGCTCTGAGGTGGACTATGTGGGCTCTGAGGTGGACTATGTGGGCTCTCAGGTGGACTATGTGGATTCTCAGGTGGGCTATGCGCACTCTCAGGTGGGCTACACATTTTTTCTAACGTGTTTGTGAGCGTTTTAACGCATGAATTCCCGGTCGCATTTGGGGTGCCATTAACTAGTAATGACAATTTATTCTGCGTTTGTGTGCGCTTTGGGAACGCGTGTCAAAGCGCCTATTTTTATGCGAGTTTGATGTACGTTCCCAGGTGTGAATGGAGACTTGGTAAAGGCCATTGCAAGGCGCATTGTAGCATTGCCAAGCCCCTATATAGCATAGAAGACCCCGGGCGGCTCAGCTGACCCACGGGCAGTCCCGCAAAATGGGAATGTCGGCGCTGGGCGGGCAGGCGGGCTCTTTAAGAACGCTCACGCACACATTAGCGCTGTACGTTTTC